TTCCATAATATCAAAATAAACAACAAAAACAGCTCTCTGATATAAGTCAAGTACATCAGGTATGGGAAAAACCAACAGTGAAAACGGTGAACCTTTTATCACACCTTAATACTGGAGTCTTTCATATATTAGTTTGTGTAAAATGACTGACAGAAAGTCAGTGCAGATGAATAATTAAGGTTTGAGATTCATGATGTTCTGCCACTTTTAAGGCAGTTAATTCAATCACATCCCATCAATCAGAGAGACATGAGGGAAAGTAAAAGGCTGCACGTAAAATAGATGGAATGAGAACGACATAGGGCAGTAGCTCTCTACCTGTACTAAATCCATCATCGCTGGAGTCCATTTTAGTGAAGTCGGTGTCGATGGAGGTGCGCTCAGCAGAGTCATTAGCGCTGTCCAAACTGCCATGGCTGACTGTGTCTAGATCGCTGCCGTCTAAAGGGAGATAAGAGCAGAGAGAAAGGGGATGAGAGAGGCTTCACAAATGACAGACTACCAACAGGATTATGAAACCAGAGCTGCACTCACACTATACATGAGCGATGTATAAACCCTCACTGAACTGTGTTGCAATCATTATCATCTGCAGCAAACGCAGGAATGTTCTGAGTGCCGCAGCATCAACCAGCGCTAAAAGATTTATCTATTTTACCTCAAAGTGAATGAATCGCATTAAAGTATAATGTAACTTGAATTTTGCTCAAGACCGAAGATGCACTTAATGTGATCGTGTTTTTATTTTGGGAATTTAAACGTTTAAAATGTTAAGTTAAAATATGTGCAGCTGGGAAAAATGTCGTATCAAATGGTGTAAAGCACTACTTTTTCATTAAAGCCTATCACTCAATATGTCATTATGGTAATGAGGGTCTCTGTGGGTTGTTGTTTGAGACTGAGATCAAAAGGAATCTGTATACTTTGACTGCCAGGGAGGAAAGCCTCTTCACTTTGTTTAAAAGGTTTCAAAAAAAGCAAGGTAGGGAACCAGGATCAGACTATGTCGCATGAATTCATAAAGCAATTAAAGTAACTAAGAAGAAAATACACCATTGATGAAGTCAGGAGTAATTTTCTGTAAATTTGAGGCAGTCCAAAACATCTTAAAGCCTCACTGGGCTCGAGTGTAAAGCAGTCACTACTAGTTCTACTTTTGACTACAGAACTGCCTTAATCGGAGTTCTAAGGAACCATTCCTCAGAGATGTTATTTGACATGATAGTATCACACAGTTTCTGCAGATTTGTTGGCTACACATCCATGATAAGAATCTCCCATTCCACTAGATCCCACCAGTGCTCTGTTGGATGGAGATCTGGTGACTGTGGCTGCCATTTGAATACAGTGAACTCACTGTCATGTTCAAGAAAGCCGTTTGAGATGATTTGTGACACAGCATGTTATCCTGCTGGAAGCATCCATCAAAGCATTCACAGAGAATTACTGCTCTGTGCAAAATGTTTGGCCAGATGTTTGTGGAAGTGCTGTAGTTAAATGAAAAAATATCTGTATGTTTTGTTTTGTTTTTTTCACCAAAATATATGTAATTGGGTTGTTACAGACAGTCACATAATCAGGAATTTAATTTTTCCTTACCTGAAAGATGAGGATCTCTTTGGGAGTTCCGTTGTTTCCTTCCTGCTTGCTTGAACTGGAGCACACCGAGGAGCACGTTCCTCAGCTTTCCCCATAGAAAGTATCCTCCCCTGGTGGTCGATGGCCAGGTGCTCTCCAATACCGCCTGGAGAAGAAATACAACATATTTTAAGATTTAAGCTCCCATCTCAATCCAATATGCAAATTGCTTACATTTTCTTAGTTGTATTGTTAATGACCGATAGCACGCACCTTGTTATAGTACCCATATGTGATAGCATTGGGTTGAACTCCAGCCTTCTTCATCTCAAACAGCACCCTCACAGCCAGGACTGGCTGGCTGTACTGTCCACACAGCTGCAGCAGCACACGGTAACAAACCTTGGAGAAAAAAAGACACGTTAACACTGAAAATGTGCAGCGTCGTCTTTTCTGAATCATATCGACAGATCTGTATTGTTTTCTTATCCAGAGCAGTTTCCTACCTCATCTGGAGCCTGCAGCTTTTTGTCCTGCATTTTCCTCAGCACATCATAAGCCGTACGCAGCGCTCGCACCTTGGAGTGGCAGTTGCCAACAAATCCTGGCAAGCAGATAAACCACAGGCCGTAGCAGTGGCGAAGCAGACACTTGGACCACATCTGAGGCATAGATGAATACGTTTTGGCCATCCTTTGAGCTGATTTGATCTCCTAAGATGAAAAAGATCAGATGTAAATGTGATTCATTGTCTATTAACAACCAGATTTGCATTTTGGATTCACATTCATATCCTTGCACATGATTATGGAGAATAGGTACAGGAGTAAATGTGACATTAATTTGAACATATTTAGGTTTATCTTTGTTCATGAAAGAAACCAAATTGACATGAAGATTCTTAAGGACCTGTTTAGAGCGTCTAAAGATGGCTGTGGGGCTGGCTGGACTGCTGTGGCGTGAGGCTATGCCTGCCGATGAAGGACTTGCTCCCTCCAAAGGCTCCAGAAGCTCAGCATTTAGCACAGGAAATGCAGAGTAGCTGCAGAAAGAAATGTATACTCCGTTATATACAGTTACATGAGCTAAAAATAGACATGGATTGCTCATAAATGCTAGCAAGCTGAGTTATTCCTACAATAGTTTGGTTCTTCCCTGAAGCACCAGCATAAGAATCCAAAAGTAATGTGTTACAGCTCAAAATAACCACACAGCCCTGTGGCAGTGACAAAGTCTAACAACAGAAGCAGTTTATGAGTCTGTCCTTTGGGAGCAGCACCCAGTGTCAGTGAAAAGTGCTGCTCAAGCATACAAGACAGAGTTTTAAAAAAAGAAACCCCCTGTCTTGCCTCTCTCATTTAGAGATTCATCTGCAGTGTGGTACCTATAGCACAGAGGATGCTCCTCTCCCTGCGATGGCGGAGGCAGCTCTGGAGGGTTGATGTAGACTGTGTGCTCGCTGCGGTGCGATTCATCCAGTTCGATCAGTCTGGCGTCCTCTGGTCGCTCACTGTCCATCTGGTTTGCAAGAGAAACACAAATTCAGCAGCTGTCTTCATCTTTCCTTTTAGCTCTTCTCTAAACACAAATCTACAAGTGCTAAAGCTTTCTGGAAGCTCTCAGATCCGACCAGATATCAGGGTCAGTGAGATGTCAGTAATGAACTGGCCTGCATCAGAAATATGGCTTTTGCTCCAATTGCAGTTAACTACAGGGCACTACCGAAGGCTTGATCCTGTGAATTCTCCAAGACCGAATTAATCTAGGCTGCAGTGACCTGGACAAAATTGATGCCATGTTACTCTAGGGACATGAAACCATTTAACTGTACAGCTTTGGCAGCACTACTTGATACTTAACTGTCACATTTGCTTCAGCTCCAAATGGACTTATCTGCTGTCTGGAGACAAGCTTTCAAAGCCTGCCTGCATGCCTGCATGCCTGCATGCCTTTCTGAGAACAACAGCAGGAACAAAGAGAAGCCGAGCAAAAGCATACATGCTCCTTTTTTAAAAGAAAATCAGCTTCAAATAGTTTCCTGGGACATTATAAAAAGCCTACTGAGCTGATGTGCACTCACTTGGCTTGTCTGAATCGATTACCAGCTTATCTCGGCCATGAGTTTCACAAAAACGTTAATATTATGGCAGCGGCTGAATAGTTCCCCGGTGTACTGGATTACAGGGTTTGTTCCACTCAGTTGAGTGGATGATTCAGTCACCGGACCCTCACTGACCTGTTTGCCCTCACTTCAATTCTGCTCTGTGTTTCTCTGTTTGTTGCCCTTCCTCTTACACCCGAGAGCTCTTTCTCAATCACGCATTTGTTGTCAACCTCAGCAGCAGTGACGCTGTATGAATCAAGGCTTCCACTTCTCAATAATAACCACAATGACCATTAATACAGTTCAAACTCTTCAAGCAGGATGGAAATGTGACTTCCTGATTGCACAAGTGTACTAGCACACACACACACACGTACACACACACACAGAGGAGGCGGATGTTTTAGCGTTTTTGTGCGAGGGTGTGACAAAACAAGTTGACAGTTTGTGTTCATAAAATCTGTCAAGTCTACAAAGAATTAGCACAAACTAATAATCAGCACATCCCACGGGATTTCAACAACAACAACAACAAAAAGGATAATGCAGATTTCTGACATCTAATGCACGTCATTACATTAAATACATTTTCTTTCTAGCCCTCCGTTATACCACCTTGATTTATTCAAAATAAGTGCACATAAATATAACGTATATAATTAAATCCTTTGATTGGGATCAATGTGGGAAAATGTTAAAAATATTTTATTTAAGCAGCAGCATAGGATTGAGTAACTTACCTTTCCTCCACTGGAAAATAACTGTTAGGCAGGGACCGTAACGACAAGCAAAGGAGAAGAAAGAAATGACAAGAAGGCAGAAAATCAGAACAGCAGAAGAAGCAAAAAGAAGACAGAAAACATCTTTAAAAAGAAGCAGACAATAAAGTTGATGAAAAAGCTTAGAGCTGATCTTACAAAGAGGCCCAAGAGATGTGCTGAAGTGTTAATTACTTTGTGTTTATTGCCTTTACTTCTTGTTAATTGCTTTTTCATTCTTTTTGAAAATTAAATAAAGTTCAAAAAAGGTCTTAATTTAGAGGACAGTGCGTGATTAATTGTTCCTCTAAATGTTTCTGCTTCTTTTTTAGAGAATTTCTGCCAGCAGTCAGAGGCCAGACTAGATATCGCTCAAAGAGCGTTTGTTCCTATGCAGCAGAATGATTTTGATGAATCATCTCTGACACTGAAAATCCATAATAAAGATTAGCTGTAAACCTCACCTTATCAACACACTCATCAAAGAAGGCCAGGCTGGCATCTTTATCACTGACAAAGGAGCACTCTTCTATGAAACGACTGAACATTTGAGTCTTGGTCATGAGGGAGTAAAACCTCTGATGGGAGCGGTCTCTGCTCTTCAAGAAGCCTGTAAAAAAGAAAACGAAATTATTTATTGAAAAGCTTAAAAAGTGGGGAATTCATATCCGTCTCATGATTCTAAATCATTGCATTTACTTGTCAAGCCGTTACAAAATATTTATGGGGTAAAGATGCAGCCGTAACCAACATTTCCGCAAAATAAATGCTGTGTTATGAAACAATTTGTTCTCCACTGCTCCTCTTACATAATAGCACACAGATGTGCAGGGACATTGTGCTATTAATCGCAGTGGCCTCTCTGACTTGTCATCCAACCCTAATTTCCACCGAGGCTTAACATAAATCACAACAGTCATTACAGCTCTGATTTGAGGCCAGATTTGCAGCATTCAGACCTTAACCCCGCGACTTACTACAGCACTGAATCACAGAGGGAGGGGAGCCATGACCTGTCAGCATGGTTTGCCGTGGCTTAGTATTGAGAATATTACTGGCTGAGAGTGACACATACCTTGGATGTCAAAGAGGGAGCTGGCATCAGTGGTTTTCTCGGACGGGGCTTGGGTGATGGGCAACAGATAGGAACGGTAGCCTCGCAGGATGGCAGCCATGAAGCGCAGGAAGGCCTCCTGGATCTCGAGCTCTAGTGTGTGCAGGCTTTTTCCACTTTCAAGCTCACAGTCGGTCACCGTGTGATCCATCTGCACATCTTCATGGTTTAAATGACCACCTGAGGGCACACAACAGCTGATGTTTTAACAATCCATACGCGCATAAACCACCTGATAGCAAATAACCGGTTATTTAACCAGACACCAGTATTATTATCACCACAGACCACACACTTTTTCCACAAGGAAAGAAGTATTAAGTACAGCACTCAAGACTGGAGTAAAAGTGAGACTGTCAAAGTCAAATTATGTATAATACTCTGATTTTCACAGCAGTCCTATTTGAAAGAAATGCAGACACCGACTTGCCAATAGGTATAAAGCTAGCAAAAACAGACCACTTGACATGATGTCACGAGCAAATTGTTCCTGTCTAGACCAGGATTCATGATGTCATGTTGTTCAAACACCACAGCGAAGATCTAGATTTTTTAAGAGGCAGGACATAACAGTTCATTTTTGCATAATTTAAAAGATTTTTAAATTAAATAGAAATAGAATAATAAAAACAATAATCTGAATAAATCACTAATGAAAGAATACCATATGTGGAATAAGAGGCAGGGTGAGGATCAGTTAAAATACCATAAATGGGGAATGATACATGGTCAACATGCTCTTCTATAAAAGAACTAATCATTGCACTATTTTATTAACGGAACAGTGAGTGCATCCTGTCAGTTTTCCTGTAAAGCTGCCCATAGAGGCTGACTCAACAGACTCATGTAGCCTAAGCAACCAAAATTATTCATGAAACCACTTAGAGGATGACACAGCATCAGACTGGACTCACCCTCAATGAGCTGCTGATAGAGCTTATTCAGACTATTGAGAAGATGCTTGCAGGCTCTCCTGGGCAAGATTTTCCACGTTAGAGCCTTCTTGTCATCTTTTCTGAAAGCACAACAGATGGTTGTTGTTACACGGGAGGACAGTTAGGAAACAAAAAAGATACGAGGGAGGGAGGATTCACTGATATCTTCACAGAATACCTTTTGATTTGTTTTGGGGGGCCGTTGGGTTCCAACCTTTTTTTTTTTCTGTACAGTAAAAATACTTCACATTCTACCTCTTATGATTAGATAAGAGTTGAGTTGAAGGTGGCCATCGAGTAGCACAGACTGGCTGCAGTAAGAGGTCACTTACTGGGAGATGGTGTTGGTGTCCAGATCCACACAAGTGATGTCAGCCGGGGGGACGTAAAGATCAAAGTACCGGGAGTCCATGCCCACAATGAAAGGGCATGGTGCACTAAGAACATCTGCCAGAGCCAGCGGGCACAGAGGGATGTATGGACATGGCCAGTGGAAGGGAAAAATCATCTGAAAGGGATCATAAGTAAAATTAATTACTATAAACAATATATATATAATGAAGCAACAAAAGACTTTTATGGTCCAATGAAAGACCTTCGTTTTAGTGCTACTGCCAGGAAACAAAGAGGATTAAAAAAGATAATACTTACAGACACAAGGGCCTCGGTTACACTGGTGAGTACAGCGGGGCGCAGGGAATGAACCAGGATCTTGTGCTCTGTGACAGCCAACACGAGCAGAGTGGCAGCATTTTTGGGGCCCAGATTCAGGAGCAACGTGGAGAGGCTTCCCCCACTACCACACAAAAACACACGGCAATTTAAAAAAAACAAACAAAAAAACCCAACAACACAAGTTTTCAGATTAGGATTGCAAAAAATGCAAGATGTTGTAATTCTGAAATTTATTGTTATCTTTACCTGAGTGGGAGTGGAGAGGACACAGGTTGGCTCAGCATCAGGCTGTCATGTGGCGACAGCTGTGGAAGACACACAAACAAAATTTAATGAGTTAGAGCAAATTTACAAAAGAACCCACCCGTACAAAGTTGAAGTGATTTCTCATAAACTCACCTGGACTAGGATGCGCGGTCTCTGAGTGGAGGGAAACGGCACATTTTGCATGAAGTGAGAGATGTGCCTGTGGGTAAAAAATCAATTCAGTTAGTAAAGTTGTAACACTCCTTACTTTTTTTATGAGTTATCAGGCTGTGAGCTAAAGTTTTGCCTTTTTTGATTTGAAAGGGATAAAATCTGTAAAAGTTGCTAACTTTTCAATAGGCAGGGAATGTGGCCCAGAGATGGAGTATCGGTAGAGGAAGGTGAGAAAGCTCCTGAAGGACTGGAAGAAGGGCCAATGGGAGAGCAAGCAGATGCTCTTGTTGGTGTAAACATTTCTGGTCTCGTCAGGTCTGAGATCAGAGCTTGGCAGGCCGAGCTGTGAGCGCTGACGCTCAGACAGGTTCTCCTCTGGGTAAGGCTCATAGAACTGGATAGCTGCTCCGTACACCTGCACACAAAGGGCCCCCAAGATAATTGCGTGAAGAATGCACAATGCATCCAAAGGATGCGCACACTTGTTATCCAAATGCAAACCCAACAGTAGCCACAAGTCCCTTGAGAATTACATTCATTGAGCATGTTGTGGCGGCTTCACAAGAGAATTTTCAACATAATAAATCAGCCCTTTGAAGTTCCTTCTCCCAAATAAATACACAAGTCATTCCTAGCCTAAAGTGCCATGAGACTAGCCTGCAGACTAGAGGTTGCAGGCAAGAAGCAGTAAACACTGAAGAATTCAGCATTTAAAACTTGCACATCAGCCCAAGTGGTGCATGAGCCATCCATTATTCAAAAGATGAGCTACACACAGACACACAATACAAAAAAATATTTTATGCTGCAGTGCTTTCAGAGGCTAACAGGCTTTTGGTATTCCAAACACAGCCTTTAGACCATTTTTGATTCCAGTCAGAGTTCAGAAGTTGATTAAGATTGTCTGGCATCCTTAGAAATACAGCTGCACTTCATAAACAGTCTAATCCATAAGGGATCCTAATTCTCAGTGAGAGACAGAGGTGGAGCTAAAGATAGAGATGCTAGCTGAAATGAAGCAATTAAGGGAGAGATTTTGTATGTGTGGTATTGTAGGGGAATCATTAATTGGTGATGATCTCACCGAAATGGCCGTAAGCTGAATGGAGAAGTGGTTTTTTTTGGCCACTTCAGTAGGTGAGTACACAAAATAACAAGTAAAAGAAAAAAATACAAAAAAGCAACTACGTACAAAGGTGATTTTACCTTTTCTCCAGAGGCTCCCGTTAGTACAAATGTGGAAAACACAGGCAGGGAGTGTTTGGTGTGTGCAGGCCAGCACTCGATCATTGCCCCCATGGGCAGGCAGAACATAGGCACTGACTCTGGCAGTGGAAAGGACTCATAGTCCTCTTCGGGGTACCTACACAAAAGACCTGGGCACAAACACATGCAAGAAATGTTAAACATATTCTTTATATGAATACTGATAATGACTGACACAAATCCATGACTAAACTTCCTTTTTCTTTTCACTGCTACAAACTCTGCACAGCTTACCTGCTTTGTATGCGATTGTGTTTGCTTTAGCCAGAGACTTCTTGTAACAAAGGTAGACTGAGGATCCCCACTGAAATACAGAGAAAGATAAAGTCGATCACATAGCAGCAACAATCTGGGCTGTGTGGGCATACACACTAGGTCTAAGTGAATATTTTTCAGAGCTCTATCCCACCATGCTGCTGTTGAGGTTCTTGTCCACCTTGCAGAAGGTGTGAGGGGGTGTTTCCCCTTTGCCGGGGATGATAACGCAGACATCGGTGACAGCCAATGAGGTGTGTGGCTGGCTCTTTGGTGCACGGCGGTAGGTGATGTAGATGCGTTGGGAGGACGAGCTGCTGATGTTTGCAGGGCGGCCTGAGGGTGTGGTCTGAACGATGTGACATCCGGGTTTGAGCTTCTCTTTCCACTCATACAGAACCCTGAAATATCAGACGGTGTTGGTGACTTTTTATATATATATAAACTGATCAAGACTTCAGACTGGAGCATGTGCATTACAGCAGATTACAGTGACCCTAAGCGGAGGAGTTATTAGTGCTGCTGGGTGAGTAAAAGGTCAGTAAGTGAGGATTACTTCTTACCCGAGATCTGTCAGTGGAGGCTTATCTCTGCCTCGCTTAAAGCACAAGAAGATCTGTGGGCCCCTTAGACTGGCTCCATTGAGCTCTGCAGAAAGGCCTGAGGGGGTAGTTTCAACACAGGTGAAGCCCGGGGGTACCTCTTCTCCCAGAGAGCGTATCACGACAGCGACATCCGTGATAGGGGCTTTGGGTTTCACAGATTTGGGACCAGCATCATCAAAGTGTAGATCCTCCTCCAGAGGCTTGGATGAGTTGGTGAGGCCAGCAACCACAAAGTAGTCTGCTACACGAGGCCCTTTATCCTCCATCATTTCCCATTCCCACACTGTCAGCTGCAAAATAAAAAAGTGGAAGGTGCATGGGGGGTCAACAAAGTGCACTCTATACACTGGATAACCCTTAAATGTCCTTACTCTGTATTAGCTGTTGTACTAGATTTGAAAAAAGAGGCAAAATGCAGCATGTAAAATGTACACTTCTCCTGCAGTGCATTAAATTGCATACCATACCAAAGAAATAGCACATAATGAGAGCACATGGAAGCACTTAAAATACATTCCTTGCTGCAAAAACATCATATTTCACCGAGAAATATGGGAGGGCTTGCGACCAGTGACCTTGCTATATGCCATGGCTGGTTATGTAAAACAGAACACATGCCTCTGTAGAGAAAAAAGAAAAAAGGCGCATATGGAAACTAGAATTGAACTGTAAGTGAGCACTCAGAAGTGAAGAGAGGGTACGTTGTTGCTCGGCAAGCAGCTTTTTCTGGGCTTTTACAGCTGTAATATTCAGACAGCATTTATTTTGGGCTCAAAAACGTCATGAAAATGAAAGGAATAGAGGGCGCACCAGTGAATTGGCTTGTTATGGCTTTATCACAAAGCATGGAACCCTGGAAGCCCTCTAAGTGCTGGGCCAGCTTATTGTGCTTCAGTTGAAGAGCCTGGTTTATCTCTCTCAGCAGTTCGTCCACACACACTAGCAAACTGATAAACAGCTGCCTATTATTTTCCCCACTGGCGTATGTGGGAGGTAGAATAAAGTTGTCTCACTCCTTTGTGATGGATGTGTCACTGTTAGGAACCTTGGCACACAAGGAGCTATGGCCATATCTCATCTACTGAGGACTTTGGCTTCTACTGGCTTTAAATCTAATAGTCCCGTGTGTTGTTCCTCCCTGTGGCTGCGTGATGGTACAGACAGCTAAGCACTGCTTACAGGCTCAGAGTGCAAAACTAACTCCTAACACAAGAGCATGGAAAAAGATAATTTGTAGAAACAAGATACTGCAGCATGTTGTGATGACAGAGATTCAGTTGTTTACTAAACAAGATTTAGAATTTGGTATCTGACTGGCTTTCACTTTCAATCACAAGACCTTTTAAAATAATTTACCAGCAAAGATCAGTCCACTGTTTCATAAGCTTGTTTTTGAAATGATGACTCATCACCACCAGGTTCCTCCATCCTGACAGTCGTCCAGTCGACATTGTTTTTGTCCAATTTTCCATCCTGCCCCAGATGTTTTTTCGCAGTTATTTGTGCTGAGCCCTATGGTTACGCGTGATGACTCGGCGTGTAAAGAGCAAAAAGTTTTCTTGTTTTTTCAGATCTCCTTCAATACTCAATTTTATTTTATTGAAAAATATGTATGCATTCATTACACTGCCACTTATGCATTTTACAACGTAGCATTTGTTCCTCTACGGTTTACTCAGGTTCTCAAAAAAGTTTTTTATTCTGAAAAACACTGATGTATATTTATTTTATTGCTTAACTGGTCTTGTTTTTATGTTGCTTTTGCGGTTCTACTTTTCAATGAATTGTTCACATTATCTAATGGCTTTTAGAAACTTAAACTAGTGGACATTATTGTTGTGTTTTAATATTTGTAATTTTATTGTAGTTGTGAACCACTTTGTGGTCCTTAAAGGAGGTGTTATATGAATTAAAGTTTCCATATAAGTAAGTAAATCTTACTTACTTATCTGGCAGAATGTGATGGCTTCTTTTCCCATGTTAGATAATTTATATTGTTAGACATCTACATGATTGTTAATTTTGGTCTTATTTTCTAAATAGGTTCTAACTATTTTAGAAAATAAGTCTTTCCCCATTAATCAAATGAACAATCAAAGTCATGAAATATAATTACAGGTGAAATCTGTTTAAAACCAGGTGAAATGTTTGCAGACTTTGACCCAAAATAATGCTGCTGGAAAAGCTAGAAGCTATTCTTTTACCACTTTCTTTCCTGCCCCAGAATTTCTAAGCAGAAATTTGTGTGTCACATCTTTTATCATATTGCCAGCTGTTCATGTGGCACAAAATCCTTTGTAATCCAGTGCCGAATCCATTTTACCTAATGACCTAACAAGCCCAAGGCCACAATAATTCTGTTCAGCTGATTCACCTGTTCTTTGATCGCGCACAACACTTACACCACAAACCTGCTGCCAGTAGGTATTGCACAAATGCTGACAGCTAAAAGCTAGACAGATGTGTCATATAATACTCAAAAGGTTCTGGATTAAATATAGATGTAATCTCCTGCTCCAACCACCACGACATTACTGCGTCTATTCCTCCCCCTCGACAGGAAGTAGAGGCCTAAAATTATATCTAATCCTCTCCATAGCAACAACATTAAAACTGAGCAGAGAACAGAAGGTTGAACATTTCTCACTCCTGTGATGATGCACAGTCTTTGGTTTCCTTTCATCAGAATGCTGTAGATTAATTGGCTTTGCCTGGACCAATGTGTCTGAGAAACGTGTTTTACCAGATGGAGAATCGGCCACATTAATATCTTTTATCTGTTTATGTGAATTGATGTTTTTTTCCATGTGATTGTGGAATAGGAAACAAACACACCGCCCACAGTGTTTCCCTTTTATCGGGAAATGCTTTCTATTTTTTTTTATCAGTGTGATATCCTATTTAATACCACAGAGATGACTATGGTAAAACAGATTGGTTACTGGCCTGTATCATCCACTTTTATGTATGTGATTGTCCATCCCATTAATCATTAAGTGCATGTTCTAGTGACAAAAACCCCCCAACACATAAATCAAACTGACTCCATCACAAATATTTTGACTGAAATTTACTTTTGAAATGTTCTTGTATTATCTCACTTATTCTAGGCAGTCTCGAGTTTGTTAAACACTGGAAGTGAGCAAGTCACAGTCGCCACAGAAACTGCAATCGCTTCATTCACTGCATTTCTTAATAACAGGACAAATAAGGACACGGCGGATTTCCTCTTACTGCAAGCAAAGCAACTTCCCTATTCGCATCCACTATTATTTGCATGAGTCACCGCCAACCGTCCGTTTTGCAGTAATTTGTTAACCACTTGTGCCATAATGTTCCTGACATTTCCCTCTGAAGCATCCTCAAACCTAATATTTTCTTTTCATGGTATCTGAGAGCATCACACCTTCTGTGTATCTTCTTATGTTCTAAAACATGTTCTAAGATGAGTTTTTTAAACTTGCATCACTCCTATAAAATTGTTGCATCATTTTAAACATTCCTTTTACATTTGTAGCATTTGTATGCAGCACGCTCTGATTATAGCTATAAACTAAAACGCACTGCTTCACATTTTAGAAGTCCCAACTGCCAAAGCTCTGCAGATGACAAAACCCCTAAATATCAAACATGATTTTGTTTGCACCAAAATATATTTTTAAGTGCTGGATAGGCATTAAAGCCAATTTCGGAAATTAGAATGAGCTTATATTTCATCTGAAGCAACATGACCGATTATTTATCCCCAGTCTCTTTTGATATTTCTTGCCAATAACGTGTTTTTTTTCCTGTTTTGTTTTTTGTTGTTGTTTTTTTCAGAAGGCAGACATTAAACTTTGAAAAATCGATCCTCCCTCTTTTTGACTTGTGTGTTGTTGTAATTATGGCCCAAAAGACAGAGGCAGTGGCTGCTGGACAGTCCGTGTAGGGCTGTGGAGGGATTAGAGGGCTGTGTTAACAGCAGGGGGGCAGGGAGGATGGGCAGTGATCAGGGAGGGAACCACCACAACATTTCACTAAGCATCTGTTCCCCATGAAGCCATGAAGACAACCCTCACCCTCATCAGCCATTTGCACTCCTTATGCTGGACAGGGGGGGAGCCCTGGCCGCTTGATGAGGAAACCACACACGCCCAAGATAAACAGAGCAGAAAGATGAAGGAGATAAGGTGGTGCTGAAAATAGGAGAACGCTGAAGAGCTTTGTACGTTAAGCTTGAACCGCACGTGCAAAAGGACTACTGGGTTAACCATAAAGTAAATGGTTAAAATTAAATAAATAGATTTAAAAAAAAAAACAACTGGCTACAGCGACCATAAAAATAAAGGGGGTTTCTCATATGCCCACATCTAAAGAGGCCATCTTATGGAGCACCGACACGGGAGGCAGTGGAATAAGCCTCCATATGACTTCAATGTAACCAATGGGCGCAGTGTATACACAGAAAATCTCACACAGAAACCGATGCTCACCGCAAAGAATTAATCTGAGCTTGCATTGCATGAAGCTCTTGGACAGTGATATGACATGTTTGCCGTTAATTGTTCCAAGCAGCAATCCAACATTAAAATTAGCCTTCAGTGTATAACACACACAAACATAAAGCTACAAAAATGGGATCTCGGACTTATAATATTAACAAAATAATAATAACACAAAAATTACTGTAAGCACAGAAACTACGTGTGCGAGCGTCGCTTGTATTTTTCTTTTTTCTTTTAAAAAAAAAAAAGATATTCGATAAAAGAAGAATCTACTCACATCACGACGAATGAAAGATGATCAGTCGAATATGAGTACACGCTGAAAATAAAACCCAGGTTCCCGTTGATGATAAATGTTTATTTCTTACAGTGCAGATTTAAATAAATTACCTACACATATATTATAATGTATAAAATAATAAAAAACCATCCACAGAGGGTTGGACCGACCAGAATAAATGGTGTATTCCCGAGCAGCGCTTTATCCAGACCTGCGCTGTTCACGTGACCGATTACAACCCTGACTGACGTCACTGATGACAGAAGAAAACGTCTGTGGTTCTGAAGAAACATTTAGCGATACAGGTTTATACGGAACTGCACAACTTCCGAAAGCGCTGCCACACCAAAAGAGTATTATTATTGTCATAAGCTGTACTAGTCGTATTTTGTCGCGAATGATTTTGTTATAATTATCTTGAAAGGAGCTATATAAATAAAAACGTACTTTACTTTCTTCTTATTATTATTTTTGTTATTGAGCCTCTGTCTCTGATAGAAATATTACAGTATAACTTTACTTTTACAACTTATTTATATCACCGCAATAAGCTTAAAACTGTTTTTCTTTTCATTTGATACCTCTGTGAAACTTTTTGCATACAAACATGAATCATAAATCATAAATTCTGATGAGCTACACCTAGTTTTATTTAAATCTACTGAGTGACACAGTATTCCAGGATTTAATTGTATTCATCCACACCGCTCAGGCCCACAACCCCCCACCCGCCCACCGCCAAAGACAGACAAGACTCTTTTGATTTAATAAGCAAAGTACATTATTTTATTCTTAAAGGGAAAAGGGGCATAGAAACACTTATTCATTTTGGTAGTGCATTCAGTATAATCTGAGAATATTACATATATTAATTATATTAATATAATTTTTGCAATAAATATAGGAATTATGATGATTGTGGTGATGATGATACTTTATTGCCAGACAACTCTGAACTTCACCACATTATCATCATCATCATCATCATCATCATTATTATTATTATTATTATTATTATTATTATTATACAATTTTATATTCACATGACATGATAATCAAAAGGTTGTTGTTGTTGTTGTTTTTTCCTCACTCAGCTGTTTAATGTTCAGTTATACCCAATGAAAGTGGGTTTATGCAGAGTAAAAAGTTACAGTACTTGACCATGAACAATAAGAACTATTGTCCTGCCCTCTGCTGCCCTTGTGTGGCGATTACTAAGACACACAGTTTGGTGGAAATTTCCAAATGACCACATATTAGTACTGGGAAACCCCATATAGTTCCAGTGGTGAGCAATACATGCACCAGTAGTTTTATAAAGTTGCAGCTTCTCATGGAGCCCCTTGGGGAAATTAATAGTTAATTAATTAATTAATTAATATTTCTGATTTACTCCAGTTTCAGATATGGTATTGTCTCTTTAATGCTGTATTATATCTCCAAGATAAGGATGGCAACACTGCAGTTTTATTGTTAAAAAAAACAGTTATGGGCTGAAGACAGCTACTAAATCAAAAATGTTCAACATGGTATTGCAGAGATGTGCAGACTAGATGAAAAACATGATATAAGATTTGTGGCGTGAATGTGTTTGACAAGCTGCATGCTCAAATTGGATAATGTATTCATTAGCAACAGACAGTAGGTGGCTTTTCATTTGTTTTTGTGAGACTGCAGGCACACACCCCGACTGCACCCGTGAAGAAACATAAAAACAACAAGATATCTGATATATTCTTAGGCAGTTAGCAGATATGCTGTTGTTGGTATTTCAAAGGTACTGTGCAGGTGTTAAAAGTGACCAGGTTTTCTATGTAAAGGCCTAGTTATTGATGTTAAGTCATTAAATTCAACAAATCAAAATGCTCTTCAGAGCTAAATGATCATCATCACACTACTGAAATGCCATTGCATTTGGTTTAGCATGAAAAAATATTTATATCAGAAAGGTCCAAACGGATATTTAAGTCAAACTGCCTGAGAATATTATATACCATTTTTCTGTCAGCTTGCACTAAATTCTCTGCTCTGTGCTTTTAACTTCATGGTTATGCTACAGTGTTAACTAAAAACTTACAAAAACAACTGTGGGCCTTGACTAGGCATTTATTTGTATTTTTAGCAGACGGTGCTTCCCACCCACAAACACCTGGAGCTGCCAAAGAGCTATGTAGTGATGCAGGTTCAGGTTTGACTAAACACAGTATTTATTACTGCACTGGTTACCAGCAGCGCTGTCACTTTAGAGAAGACTGAAAAAATTATTTTGTGACTTCACATAAATTGCTTGCAATCAAAGATCAGATGTGTTGTTACAAACACAGTTAAGTTCAAGTAAGATGAAGTGAGGTTCTTCCTGTCAAAGCACAACACAGCTGTCATACTGGGCTTTTTGCAGAAGCGTGAATGTGGAGTACTGACATCACCTGACATTTCTTGATCTCAGCAAATAGCTCAGTATGAGTTGAAGGGCTATAGCAGAAAAACAGAACATTAAGTATCTGTATGTGTCACCCACAATGAAATAACAAGCAAGCTCCAAACAATCACTGAGATCGCTGCTGCTGTCAAACAAGAAAACATTGCATCCATGGCAACAGCTGATGAGTTATTACAAAAACCAAAACCCAAAACAACAACATCAAAAAAAAATGAGGGAAGAAATTAAAACAACTCTTTTAAAAAACGTGTTATTGCAATATCTACACATTGGAAGGAAGGAAGGAAGGAAGGAAGGGTGATTTATCCAACCTAATGTATGAGCCTACCTTACAAACGACTAACAGACTGAGCAACAAATACATTTTACAGGATTATCATTTTGTGATTTGATTCAGGATAATAGCTAGGCTAAAAAAAAAAGGGGGGTTATTGTTGAGCTTTGAAATCAGCCATTAGTGTGAATTGGTCTGCCTTGTTAGCCTTGCATTAAATGGTAAATGGCCTGCATTTGTATAGTGCTTTTCTAGTCCTTAAGGACCCCAAAGCGCTTTACACTACATTCAGTCATTCACCCATTCACACACTGGTGATGGCAAGCTACATTGTAGCCACAGCTGCCCTGGGGCGCACTGACAGAGGCGAGGCTGCCGGACACAGGCGCCACCGGGCCCTCTGACCATCACCAGTAGGCAAACATGGGGTTAGTATCTTGCCCAAGGATATTTGGCATGCAGCCAGGATGCCAACCACCGACCTTCTGATTAGTGGCTGACCTGCTCTGCCACCTGAGCTACAGCCACCCATTAAAGGCAATAGACAGAGTTTTATTTAATATGAGATCAGAAAAATCCAGGTGACATTACCATATAATGATGTCTGGTCTTTGATCTCACGAGACTATTGTTGATGACATCCTCCAGAGGATTAAAAATTGTTTCGAAATTTAACATCATTACAAGGAGGAAATTAGACAAGAAAGTGTTGTTGAAAAATTCTATGTTACACCTCAAGCTTGGAAAGGGGTCATCATCAGCTGGTCATGCCAGCAGCACCAGTCTAATCAGCTCCTTGACTCACTGACACTTTTTCAGAAGTATACAGTTTTTTCGGACCATCAGGGAAAAAGTTTGTGTTCTTTAGTTGAAAAATCCCTTGACAAAATTGGGACGTGAGTCAGTGATTTGACTTGGTTTTTAAATTTTATTTTATTTTTTAATGATTTATGTTTTTCTACAAATATATGCACGTCAGACTCTTAAGAAAACTTGCAACGTGTGAGTGCATGTAAATGGTGAATGAGTCAAAATATTGCATACCTTCTGCAACTGAAATAAAAACAGAGGAGAAAGGATTTTTTTCGTACTGTGGAGATTGTTTGTAATTTCCCATTAGTAAGCTGAAACGATAGATATTAGATATTTGAATTTATTTATTTAAAAGGGACAGTGCAGTTAAACATAGTTCAAGTGCAAGACATGAGACTGATGTACCGCACATAGGTTTATAGCTAATGCTATATATTATAATCTATTTTATAAGTATTGATAGACCTAAATAGAATCCTGTGTGGTAAACTATAGACATTTTATAATAAAAACGAGAATTAAAGAAAAATAACTTTTCAGGTCCCACCGAGATTTGAACTCGGATCGCTGGATTCAGAGTCCAGAGTGCTAACCATTACACCATGGAACCACGTGTCAACGGCTTACTGAAATCATAGGGTGAGTCGTGACTCGTCTTGTTTCGGTAAGCTGTATATTTATTGCGGATGTATTGTTTTCCTTGTAGACCGGAATAAAAAGAGAAAAATTAGGTACTTACTTGTGACTGGCAGAATTGCTTCAATGCCGCTCTCACCAGTACTCGGCTGCCTCCTGGTGGTCAACATGTGTAATTGCAAGAACCGCAGGTATTGATTTTCATTCCGTTTTCTGCTCGTCTTTGAGGCACATATGAGTATGCAAACCTCAAGGCGATTCCAATGTCTCCAGTCCACACTAGTAATAATGACCTAACCATGACTAAATTAAGTCTACAGCCACAATTTAGTGATCTTTCATTCCAAATCCTTTCCAGGAGGTGCACTTATGCAATTGTAATACTATGTTAA